AAAATTTTATAGAAAAGCAGTTTGATGAATTCATTTAAAATAGTAACAGTGTGGTAGCAATGTATGTTTTTATTAGTTCGTTGACTTGGCAACAACACATATAGATTTTGTAGTTACAAATAGCTCTATTGCACAGGGATATTGTGTAGCCTTTCAATTTTAGATAAAATACATTTTATCTCATTTTATCATGTTCTTAATTAGGAATTTACATGTAGCAGCATGTGCTTTCTTTTCAAATCTTGAGATTTGCTCTTCTTTTTTACTATTTTATAATTGCTTAATTTAATTGAAATATTTAAGTCTCTATATGTGTGAACTATAATAAATACGCACCTTCATCAACTGACTGTGGTTGTCAAGTATCTCTAAAAGCTCTGATCATTTTTGCTGTATGTGAAAATGCGTTTCTGGTGTCTTATTCTTGACATCACAAACTACATTAGGTTTAGCCATTTTAGTACAGCTAAAGATTGGCAGTTTAAACCTACCAGTCGCTCCTTGGAAACCCTATATAGGGTCCCATGAGTCTGAACCAATTCGACAGCACTTAAAAACAACAACATTTTATTATTATCAAAAAATATGTACACAGAGCAAATAAAGCAATACAGAGAACAATGAAATAAAGGGTAGTATTAAAGTGCTTTGTACACCTCTCCCAAGTGTCATTCCTCAGAGGTTAATTACTACCATTTTTAACTGCTTATTTAAGTTCTGATAATTGGCTCTGTAACTCTACTTAATAGGATTATATTTTTCTTTGTTAATTCATCAAAAGTAAGCACACTATTTATTGGCTTCCTACTTTTTAGCTTACTTATATTAGGCATGGTATCCCTGGGATTGGGGTAGTGGTGATGCAAATGATAAGATGTTCAACTATTAACCAAAAGGTGGGGGATTTGAACTCACCCAGTGGTACTTTGGAAGAATGGCGAGCTTTTGAAATGTCACAGCCTTGAAAACCCTATGGAGTTCTCATCTGCAACTCACAGGGTTGCTCTGAGTCAGAGTTGACTCAGTGGCAACTGGTCTTTTTGTTGTTGTTGTTGTTAATACTGTTGTTGTTACGTGCTGTTCCAGTTGGTTCCAACTCATAGCAATCCTGTATAAGGTTTCTGAACTATAAATTTTCAAAGGATCAGAAAGCCTTATCTTTCTCCTGTTGTGTAGTAACTGGTGGTCTCGAACTGCCAACCTGTGGTTTAGCAGTCTAGTGCTTATCCTATAGCACCACCAGTGATTGCTTATTAATCCTAGGTGTACCTTTTTCCAACTAATTATATCATATTGCTAGTTTTAATTCTTTCATGACTCTAAATATATTTAAACTTCTGTTTTTTTCTGTTTTCTACTTTTCTTCTAGTTCCTCCCTTATCTATAAATTATAGGGTTTTATTTGATAACATTTTTAATTGAAAACTCATTTTATTTTAAAGGTTCGTTTTGCAAAACCAGTATATCCAGGTCAAACTCTACAAACTGAGATGTGGAAGGAAGGAAATAGAATCCATTTTCAAACTAAGGTATGAATAAAAGAATTACTTTCTTTTTTATTGTTTTACTTTCATCATTACCACACTGTATAAGTTTGCTTCATCTTATCATTTCTTTGTTAGTATTATGAATATGAGATGAAACCTAGAATTTTTTTTTAATGTTTATCAATGGTAATTTTATGATGGAAACAATTGAAATGTTTTATGGATTAAATTGTGTTCTCCCAAAATATGTGTCAATTTGGCTGGTCCATGATTCTCCGTGGTTTATAAGTTATGCAGTGATAGGATTTAGCAGTTACGTAATGATGTAGTCATCCCACAATATGTAATCTGATATGATCAGCCAATCTGACCCTTACTTAGGTCAGATCCCTGCTTCCTGAAAGGAGAGTTTCCCTGGAGCGTGGCCTGCATCACCTTTTATCTTACAAGAGATACAAAGAGAGAGAAGGAAGTAGAGCATTAAGGACCAGGACTCTAAGAAAGTAGAGTCAGGAGTGGAGCATGTTTTTTGAATGAAACTGAGAATCTCCTAGTCCTAGAAGAACATCTATGCCAAGAAATGAAGACTAGCTGTTTTAACAAATGGATGAAATGCTGGAAGTACTCACTAGTCTAGGCCAAGAAATTGAGATGGCAGCTACCTGGCCAACCTACTGGAAGAAATCCATATTCATCCCTTTTCCAAAGAAAAGTGATCCCACAGAACATAGAAATTATCAAATAGAATCATTAATATCATACACAAGTAAAATTTTTCTGAAGATAATTCAAACATAGTTGTAGCTATACATCAACAGAAATTCAAGCTGGATTCAGAAGAAGACATGGAACAAGGAGTATCATTGTTGATGTCAGACAGACTAGCTGAAAGCAGAGAATACCAGAAACATGATTATCTTTATAGACTAGGCAAAGGCATTCAACTGTATGGATTGTAACAAGTTATGGTTATGATTTCAAAGAATGGGAATTTCAAGACATTTAATATGCTCATGCAGAACAACCTGTACATATGAGAGTAAGTCAAAAAGTATGCTAAAAAAATTATAGAAATCTTTATTAAACAAAATTATCAAACTGTAAAGTGATTGTTTCTTGCCATATCCTCCATCTAGATTTATACACTTCTGAAGGTGATATTTCCATCTCGCTGAGCTCTGGAGCGTAGTGGTTACGAATTGGGCTGCGAGCTGTAAGGTCAGCAGTTTGAAACTACTAGCTGTTCCATGGGAGAGAGACGAGACTTTCTGCTCCTGTAACAATTTACAGCCGTGGAAACCTGTACATGGTCGCTATGGGTCGGAACTGACTCCATAGCACATAACCAAAAAAACAAAAAAACCAAAAAACCTTTCCCCAAAGAATTCTGAGCTCTCTGATGTACACAATGTCAAAAGGGACTCAAATTTTGTGCTATTTGAAAGTTGTCGGGGTCTGACCCCGACATAGTTGTCACGAGTTTTTGGTTCACGAGGAGGGGAGATCCAGCGGCGATAGGGAAAGCGAAAGAATACACAGAGAAACAGAAGAAGGGAGACAATGAGGCACCCCAAAGCCAGGGTGGATACATCACTGGTGGGCAGGCTTGGGACTACAGGCATCATGGCCTCTGCAGGCAGCGACTCACTGCCCTGCAATCTTTAATGGATGCCTTCCAACCCGTAATGCACCGCAATCTTTACTCCATGCCTTCCAACCAGTAATGCACTGATCTTTACTCCATGCCTGCCAACCAGTAATGCACAGATCTTTACTCCATGCCTGCCAACCAGTAATGCACACCTGGGGAGGCCCGGGCCTCTGTTTTATTTAGGGGAGGAGTTTCACACCAAGCTGGGAGGGACTAAAACAGGATACAGCTAACATCAGTAATTTTCCAGACATTCAGGTAACTTTACATTGTACTTCACTGGTTCGAATCCCAGGCCAGCAACTTGGATTCTCAGGCCCAATTAACATATCTATAGCCCCTGAGGTCAGTTGGGGGAAGTTGAGAGTTCTGTAGGAGACGCCCAGGTGAATGGGCTGCACCTGGAAAAGGGATTAGGGAGGATGGGTTCTTTGTCTATAGAACAAAGAACCGAGAAGTAGCTAAAATATTTTTAGTTAATCCTTTGGAGAAAGGTTTAACCTTGCAACCTTTAGTTAATCCTTTGGAGAAAGGTTTAACCTTGCAACCTTTAGTCTCCGCTTTAGGAAAATATCACATTTATCTGTGGATTTTCAAAGGCTCCAGTGTATTAATTTAATATATATACCTGAATATTAAGATGAAAGCAATTTTCCATTAACTGCCAGTGGCCTCATTTGTTACACTCAGCCCTAGAGGGCCTCGAACCTCTGACTAGTCTTACACGGTCTGCAACAGAAAGTTGTTTGAGTTTTAGGAATGGGAAGAAGTCTGAAAGGGTCAGATCAGGGCTGTAGTGTAGATGAGGTAAGGATTCCAAGAAAATTCTCATAGAACGGCCCTTACTATCCTCAAAGAAAATGAGGTAGGTGCATAGTTACAATGGAAAAACTTTCCTTGACACAATTTCCTTGGCCTTTTCTGTTTATTAAAAACTTCTACCTAATAAGCCCCCATAGTTGTCCTGTGTTCTTTGAAAAAAGATCTGTGAAGATTACCCCTTTGGAATCTGAAAAGATAGTCACCATAACCATCTTGCTGTTTTGAATGTATCTGTCTTATCCAATTCCCTTTGAAGACACTGTTTTGATTGGACTTTTATTTTTTTAAGTTACCCTAATGAGACTGGTGGTGGCTTGTGAGTTGCTGTGCATCTGAAAGCTATGCCACCAGTATTTTAAATACCAGCAGGGCCACCATGGTGCACAGGTTGCAGATGAGCTTCCAGACGAAGACAGACTAGGAAGAAGGAGTGATGAACTACTTCCAAATATTTATTCACTGAAAACCTTATGAATAGCAGAGAAACACTGTCAGATAGAGTGCCTGAAAATGAGCCCCTCAGGTTGGAAGGCACTCAAAATGCGACTGGGAAAGAGCTGCCTCTTCAAAGTAGAGTTGACCGTGATGACATTTGAATGGAGTAAAGTCCGTGGGAGAAAAGCCCGTGGGACCTTCATTTGCTGATGGGGAACACCTCAAAATGAAGAGAAACAGTTGTAAACTTCTATTGAAAATTGGAACATGGAATGTACGAAGTATGAACCTGGGAAGATTGGAAGTTGTCAAAAATGAAATGGAACACATTGCTATCTTAGGCATTAGTGAGCTGAAATGAACTGGTATTGGCCATCTTGAATCTGGCAACTGCATGGTTTACTATGCAGGGAATGACAAATTGTAGAGGAATGATGTTGCATTCATCGTCAAAAAGAACATATCCAGATCAGTCTTGAGGTGCAATGCTGTCTGTGATAGGATAATATCCATGCGTCTACAGGGAAGCACTCACTCATCTCTGCCAAGAAATTTGGAAGACAACTATCTGGTTGACTGATTGGAAGAGATCCATATTTGTGCCCATTCCAAAGAGAGGTAATTCAACAGAATGCGAAAATCATAGGACAATCTCTTTGATATCCCATGCGAGTAAAGGTTTGCTAAAGGTAATAGAGAAATGGCTGCAGTTCATGCATTGACAGAGAACTTCCAGAGGTTCAAGCTGAATTCAGAAGAGGCTGTGGAACAAGGGATATCTTTGCTGATGTCCGATGGATCTTGGCTGAAAGCAGAGAATATCAGAAAGATGTTTACCTGTGCTTTATTGACTACGCAAAGAGTTTTGATTGTGTGGATCACGAGAAGCTATGGACAACATTTCGAAGTATCAGTATTCCGGAACACTTAATTGTACTTCTGAGGAATCTGTACCTGGACCAAAAGGCAGTTGTTCAAACAGAACATGGGAACACTGAATGTTTTAAAATTAAAGAAGGTGTGTGACAAGGTTGTATTCTTTCACCATACTTATTCAACCTGTATGCTGAGCAAATAATCCGAGAAGCTGGGTTATATGAAGAAAAACATGGCATCAGGATTGGAGGACTTTAAGTTTCATTGTTGATTTCTTTCTGTTATGTCTGGTGAGGTCCATTTGTATAGTCATCATTTGTGTTGTTTAAAAATGGTATTTGCAGTGAATAAATCATTTGTTGTTGTTGTTAGGTGCCATCGAGTCAGCACTGACTCATAGCGACCCTATGCATAGCAGAATGAAACAATGTCCGATCCTGGGCCAACCTCACTACTGTTGCCACACTTGAGTCCATCGATGCTGCCACCTGGCCAATCCATCTCATTGGGGGTCTTCTGGTTTTTCTCTGACCCTCCATTTTCCAAGCATGATATCCTTCTCTAGCAACTATTCCCTTCTGACAATATGTCCAAAGTATGAGAGACGAAGTTTGGCCATCTTGGTCATTGCTCTTGCAAAATTCTATCATGCTCTCTCCAGCATTGTTTCTGTCACTAAAGCCATATTTTCCAACTACTGATCCTTCCTCTTTGTTTCCATCTGTGCATTTCAATTACCAGTAATTATCAATACATCTTGATTGCATGGTTGATCAATTTCAGACTGAAGAAATAGGTAGAATCCTTCAATTTCATCATCACTGGCTTTGGTAGTTTGGGGAAATGATCCTCCTGATGGTTGACATGGAAGTTTTTGGTTAATGCTACCCTAATTTTTAGAGTCTTACATACATTTGTAGCAATTCCATGCTTTCTATGAAAGAATAAATGTTGCAATTATTTTAGATGAAGAATTGGGAATTAGAGTTTGAGTTTATGCAATGATTATTTTGATACATCTAAAACCAAATCCACTGCCATCGAGTCTATTCCAAGTTACAGCAACTGTAACTTGTTCCTGGGGTTCCAGAGATTGTAAATCATTACAGGAGCAGAAAGCTTCATCTTTCTCACTTGAAACAGTTGATGAGTTTAAACTGCTGATGTTGTGGTTAGCACCTGAACCCTTAACCAATTGTACATTTAAGTCTCCTTACTATTTTGATAAGTGACAAATAATTTAGTGTATACTAGCTACACTTCCTATTTGAAATCAGAACTATAATGCTTCTTTAACAAAACCACTATGACATCCACTATTGCATGTTTCTGGCCAATTTTATTTTACTTTGACAGCACAAATGTAGTTTGAGTATGCCCCATGCAACTATTGTGATACGCCTTTTGCTCCTTTAGGGTTGTTGGTTGTGTGCCATAGAGCCATTTCCAATCACAGAGACCTGTTTCTGAGGCTGTAAACATACATAGGAGGAGAAAGCCTCCTCTTTCTTCTAAACTTCTGCAATTCTCACCCTTGGTGCCTGTTAGGCATACTTGTGTTTAAAATGAAAAAAACAAAACAAAACACCTAAAGTATCAATACATGCCCCAACTCCACTCTATACATTTAAATAAGCCTCATTGATGATATAGGGCCAAATACAAATATTGTTTAAAAGGGTCTTTGTGGTTGTTATGTGCCGTGGAGTCGGTTCCGACTCATAGTGACCCTGTACAGGGTTTCCAAGGTTGCAAATCTTTACGGGAGCAGAAAGCCTCATCTTTCTCCCGCGGAACAGCTGGTAGTTTCAAACTCCTGACCTTGTGGTTCGCAGCCTGATTTCTTAACCACTACGCTAACAGAGCTCCTTAAAAGGGTCTTAGCTGATTCTAAAACTCGAGTTAATAACAGTTACATTAAATCAGTAATCATTCATGTTTATTCACTTTGACATTTAATTCATCAGCTGTTTATTTTTATATTCCATATCTTGAAAGTAAATTATAGTCTAAAAACAATAATGTTACATACTGCTATAGTGAAATTGTATTTCCTTTGGAATCGTCACCATGACCTTTTCTCTTTCTCTCTCTTCAACACATATTAGATTCAAGAAACTGGAGATATTGTCATTTCAAATGCGTATGTAGATCTTGTGTCAACATCTGATATTGCTGTTAAGACACCCTCTAAGGTAGGTTATAAATGCTGGTATGCAAATATTTTTTGATGTGTGAATTTGTTAGATTACTTTGAGAATGTTAAGATTACTTTAAAGAGTTAAGAACAATGACTGTTAATTCTTGAGCTGAAAGACATTAATTCAAAATATTTGGAATAAATGAAATACCTCATTAACTTAAAGATTTTTTGTTTTTAACTTTTTGGGGGAAGGTTACTTGACCCCCTTAATATTCTGATGAAACTGATGGAGCCTCTCCTAAGAAAAAAGAAAAAAAACATTAAAGCCAGAACCAAACTCATTGTTGTGGAGTTGATTCTGACTTATAACTAATCTACCAGTTCGAATCTACCAGTTGCTCTGCTAAAGAAAGATGAGGCTTTCTCCTCCTATGTATGTTTACAGCCTCAGAAACGGGTCTCTGTGATTGGAAATGGCTCAATGGCTCAACAACCAACAATTCTAAAGGAGTAGAACTGATGTATAAGTTTTTCAAGGCTGTATGCAAATCTTTACCTATCTCTCCTGTGGAGCGGTTGGCTGATAGAATCTCTGACCTTTGGGTTAGCAGCCTAGCACTTTAACCATTTTGCTACCAGAGTTCCTTGAAAAAGCAATAGCATATATTTTTGTTAAAATAATATTATCCTCTATTAACACATGGAAACTTAATAAAATATACTTACATGCTTTGTTTCCAAAATAGTAAATTTATAAATCTTTTAATAGTGCTGAGTTCTTTATATCTACATGATTTTTAATTGTCTGCTTAAGCCATATTATTATATAGCCTACTAATGATTAAAGTTACTTAAGAAAAGTATGAAATAAAAATGAATGAAGTTTTAGCACTAGAAGATTTAGACTTCATGTAATTGAGAATTATTTTATAAATAAAGAAAAGAGACTAGAAAAGTTGGTTATTTGTCTAGTATTTTCCTGCTGAAGTTAAACTGGGACATACAATGCCCAGTTCCTAGTTAACTCTTAAAACATTATTTCTGAATTTTGATAAAAATACAATCTTTTTATTAAGCAGACTGAGGGTTCTGGATGATTATATATAAATTTGAGGATCATGTAAATGAATCCTAGTGTGAGCAAAAAAGAAAATCAAAACTAGTTTAATTGCCTTATTTATGTGTAGGTCATTCTTCTAAAAGTCACCTTTATTGCATATGTGTTTTATACTTCCTTTCTCTTTGAGTCACTTTCACATAAGTTTTGACATTTACTCTTCTTGTTTTGCTAGGGCGGGGAGCTTCAGAGTACCCTTGTGTTTGAGGAAATTGGTCGCCGCCTTAATGATGTTAAGCCTGAGGTGGCAAAGAAAGTGAATGCTGTATTTGAGTGGCATATCACTACAGGTGGAAATGTTGCTGCTAAATGGAGTAAGTTGTATCTCTGATTCTGTAATATTCTAAAATTACTTTTAGTAAATGGAGGTAAAGTATTCTTGTTATAATTAAAGCTTATCTCTTTGAAGATAAAGGAGCCCTGGTAGCATACATAGTAGATTACAAACTGGGCTGCTAACCCAAGGTCAGCAGTTCAAAACTACCAGCTCCTCTGCTAAAGAAAGATGAGGCTTTCTCCTCCTGTGTATGTTTACAGCCTCGGAAACAGGTCTCTGTGATTGGAAATGGCTCAATGGCACACAACCAATCCTATTTTCTTAGGAAAGTTGTTCTTCTTGGAAACTAGTGATTTTTAGGGCAACTAAAAATGTATGCTTTTTAGTAATCTAGGGAATCAATTAAAATAAAAATATCAACTTTATAGGTTTCATTGTAACACCTGAAATTGATATATTTAGAAAGTCATTTTGGCTGTATAATTCTGTAATTAAACTTCCTCTTCATATAAAGCAAGTTCATCTGCTCAAATGAGATATTTTTAATTCATTTTGTTTTGACAATTTAGAAATTATTTTTCATCCCAAATCATTAGTAATTTGTATTATCACTGTAGTTACAAATATAACATCATAATTATTTTCTTGATATCTGTAGATTACAATTAAAGGTGCATATTATATCTAGCATAGAGAAATTACCTACTAGAGGGCCATGTTAGAAAGTTGACAAGGCACTTCATTTAAAGCAAGCAAGAAAGTGGTCACATTCATTTTTAAAAAAAAATGTTTTATTGTGAATTATGTGATAGTTTACATGGGAAAACATTAGTTTTACATTCATCTTATCGTATATTGTTTCATTGCCATGGTTACAATCCCCTCCATGCCCACTGGTCATCAGCACACAGCCCCTCTGCCTCTTTGGGTCTAAAGTCCCCAGCTGCTCCATCTCTCCACGTCATCGTCTCTACCTCCATCTCAGTCATCACTGCTTCACTGTGTAGGGTCCCGTTTCCTGGTCTTCTCCCTTGATGGTCCCAGGAACCTCTGCTCCTTGCTACAAAATGTCTACCGTTATATTTCCAACCCTCACAAGCAGTCCTGATAACAATTATTCACCGTTGTATCACAAGAGACCCATCCGCATTTCATTTCGTCAGCCTGTCACATTCATTTTTACTAATAAAAGAAACAACCCAAAGTAAATCACTGCCATCAAGTCAATTCTGACTTAGACCCTAATAGAGTTTTCGAGACTTTAAATTTTTACAGGAGGGGACAGCCTTAACCCTGGTACCGTTTACTGAAGAAAATAAACTTGTTGATAAAAAGAGAAAGAAAAAAAATCCTGCCAAATCTTTTGCATCTAGTTATATAACTCATATTTTTAAGCAATACCTAATTTTAATTTAACTCTTAAGATAAAATTGTTGTTAAGTACTGTTGAGTTGGTCCCGACTCATAGTGACCCTGTATAGGGTTTCTGAGGAGCGGCTTGTGAGTTTGAACCACCAACCTTGAGGTTCAAACTGACTTCATGATTAAGTGCTTATCCTATGATGCCACACCAGGTAAAATGAGACTATTAACATTGAATAAACATCTTTTTCTATATTAGAGTATAATCTCTTTTTATTCTATTTACATAAGGTGGCACTATAGCACTTTTGTTGGCTTGCTTTCTAACCAGCCAGTTTAATAGCAAAATTGAACATCTGATGTCAGTCAATCATGGCAGAAAAATGTATGGCTACATAGTAAAGAAGGAGTCCTTGTGTGGTGCTCTGGGTTAATGAGCCAGACGGCAAAGCTGTTTGAATGGCAAGGCCGGTGGTTCAAGCTCACCAGCTGCTTCTTGGAAACTATACAGAGTTGCCATGAGTCAGAATCAACTCAATGGCACTTAACAACAACAACAACAACATAGTGAAGAGAGTTCCCATTCATGCTTTTTTAAAATTTGTTGTTAAGTGCCGTTGAGTTGGTTGCGACCCTGTATAGGGTTTCCGAGGAGTAGCTGGTGAGCTTGAACCACCGACCTTGCAGTTCAAACAGCTTTGTAGTCTGGCGTATTAACCTACAGCACCAAGTCAGTTATAAACTGAAGAGTCACTGCTTCTAACAATAAGAGTTAGTCATTTTTTGAATCATAAAACATGCTATTTGACCATTATTATTTTTTTAAATTTGCCGTTTCAACCATTTTTACATGTTCAGTTCTCTAACATTAATTAAATTCTCCATATTGTGCCATCATCATTATCTGTTTCCATGTGTTCCTGATCCTTATAGAAACTCAGTATCTCTTAGCAATACTTGTCTGTTCCCTCCTGCTTCCCGCCCCTGGTAACCACTAAATAAACTTTTGTCTCTATATATTTGCCTATTTGAGATATTTCATATAAATAGGTTCATATAATATTTGTCCTTTTTTGTCTGATGTAATCATTTATCGTAATGGTCTGAAACTTTATTCATGTTGTAGGTTCTTTTAGAACTTCATTTCTCTTTATGGCTGAATAATATTCCATTGTTGTATGTACTATATTTTGTTTACCCATTCTTCTGTTTGATGGATAACACTCTGGTTGTTTCCACCTTTTGGCTGTTATGAATTATGCTGCAGTGAACATTAGTGTACAAGTATCTGTTTATATCCCTACCTTCAATTCTTTGGAGGTATATACCTAGAAGTGGCCTTTCTAGGTCATATTGTAATTCTATATTTAACTGTTTAAGGAACTGCTAAGCTGTTTCTGCAGCAACTGATGACTATCAATTATTTTTATATAATATTCTTACTTTCAGTAAGGGAGCCCTGGTAGTGCTGTAAAATAAGCACTGAACTGCAAAATGTTTATAGTGTTCATCTTAAATCTTAGTGCTTTACCACTGTGATAGGCCTTCCATTGAAATAAAGAGATGGAACAGTCCATCTGGTGATTCATTTGACATGGCTTTCATAGGAAACTGGGGGTGAGGTGGGAGAGTAGGTGGCAAAGAGAAGATGAGATCCAAAAAGTAACTTACACATGTGGTGGTTTTCTTTAAAAAAAAAAAAAAGAGAGAGAGAGAATGTTATCTACACCATTTGAAAACAAGCATTCAAAACCCATCTTTCAAGCCATAGGCAAACCATGTTCTAGCTTAAGGAGGTTCTCTTTATTTGTTAATAAAATCTCTCCCCAAACCTTGAGCACTTTCAGTCATCCCCATACTGGGCTTCATCTTCAGATCCTTCATCCCCCAACTTTTCTGGTGGAGGGCTGTCAGATGTTTGCTTTTCTGGAGGGCTGTCTGGTTCCTAGTTGTCTTGCCTGGGGGATGGAGTCTTTACCGATGGATTTGAAGCTGTGGGATCACCTGCTTTCCCTTTCCCTTTTACTGGACTTTGTGTTACTGTTGCCTTTAGCCTGGGTTTGGGCATTTTCTTTTCTTTTCACTCAGGTTTGGATTTCTTAACCATCTTTTTGTTTTTCTTTAAGTTTTTATTGTGAATTATGTGGTAGTTTACATGGGAGAACATGAGCTTACATTCATTCTATCTTATTTTGTTTCATTGCAATGATTACAATTCCCTGCATGCATCATCAAACAGCTAAAGGGTGTACCCTGCAAGCCTGCCCTTTGGCCATCAACAAACAGCCCCTCTCCCTCCCAGAGTCCAGAGTCCCCAGTCGCTCCATCTTTCCACTTCATCATTTCTGTCTCCATCTCTGGCTTCACTGTTTCTCTGGATAGGGCCCCACACTCTGCTCTTCTCCCTTGATGGGTCCCAGGGTCCTCCGGGCTTGGACTGCAAGATCAGCCACTCCCCTCCTTTTATTACAAAATTTCTATCTTTACATATGCAACACTGAAGGTCAGTCCTGATAACAGTTATTCACTATTGCACCACAAGAGTCCTTATCCCCATCTCCTTTCATCAACCCCGTGCAGACGGGTTGGAAACCACTCAGTGAAGATTCTACCTTCCCCTGTACCCTCTCAAATTAGGCTCCCGCTTGAAATCTTGTAAGCCAGTCACTTCATGCCTTTGTAGCATCCCCCATTTTGGGTAGCCAATCAGACTTCTGTTATAGTTTTTGATTTTTTCTGATGGTCTTTCTTTCAAGAAGTATCTTCTGTTCTTCTAGCCATTCCAGGCTGGTCTGCTTCTCCTTTCAGTGGAAATCTCCTACCTCAAAAGGTTCTGGATGGGAATCAGGATTCCACCTATGGTCTTATGCAATGCAAAGGCTCCGAAAGAAGCCTCCTTCACTGGGCAAGTTCTAGCCCCATTTTAGGTATTCCAATCAGTTATAGGCTGAAGATGGACTTACAAGCTTTCTGTGGTGATGTTTCTGGCTATTCCTTTCTCTCCCTCTCAAGAGTTTATTTTACAATAGTAGATCAGGGAAACCAAGATTCAAAAGACAGCCAAGCATCTTAACATTATTTCCCCTCTTTTACCTATTCAAACCATGCTTCAATCCCTGTGTCTCAGAATTGTTGTTCCAGGGTTGTGCATACATCATTATTTACCTCTGACCCACTTAGCCCATGCAAACCTGCCTAACTGTTCTCCCATTTGCCTTGTTCTTCCTTT